AGCATTATCTAGTGCAATTTGATAAGCACTATAAATAGTTAGAGCATTTATTTTAATTGAGGCTTGTGCGTCCGAAAGTGTAGACAACTTCTTAGGTGCAAGTGCTAAACCATTATAAATAGATCGATACCAATATTGAGGACCACCTAATTTCATAGTAGGATTTAACAAGGTAGCAATACCGTAAATAGGGGTAATAGGGTAAAAATATTTTTAAAATTTCTTTCTCATGGAATCAATAGCTACTTCATAAATTTCCACACCCTCTGAAAACTAAGCAAACAAATTTGCAAGATCTGCAAGATAAACTAAACAGTTCGAAATAGTAGGATAATATTGCCAGAAAATTCATTTGTAGCAACATAAAATCTTTCTAAAAAATCTACAAGCATTTTAACATTAGCCCAATCCGCATTTGTAAGGTGCTCATCATCATCACTTACATGAGCATTAAACGTTGAGTTTATGGGGTTTCTATATTCATATGCAATAACTAAACTTTCATACATGTAATTCCATCTAGTTGGACAAGGTTTAGGAACCTTTCTTTCTCTTAGGCCAAATTCATCGCATCTTTTAAAATATTCTCTAAGTCTACTTCTACGGTTTGAATAAAAAACCAATTAAGAGCCATTTTAACCTTTTTAATTTCAACATTTAAAATTCTCATACTATCACCCACAATTAAATGGTAAATATGACAAATACATCTAACATGAAAAATGTTACTAGATGCAAGATTTAGTGTAGTGGTAAGCAAGGTTACATCATTAGTGTTACTAGTAGCATTATCCATTGAAATTCACATTATTTTATCACTAATGCAAAAATATCTATCAATATTCGTAACCGTGCTAGAAATAAACTGCCCTGTGTGACGTAAATTAATTATTCTATAAGCAATAATGTGCTTTTGCATTATCCACTCCTCATCAATCCAATGACCTGTAACAGTAAGATAATCGCAGTCATTACCACTTCTACCAATATCAGTAGTAATAGCAACACGACAATTAATATGAGTAAATAAATAGCACAAATATTGTTCATATTCATGTTTATATTTATAAATATAGCTCTTTACGGTTGTGTGAGGCTATCCTTTATAAGTAGGATTAAAAATTATTCTAATACAATGCACAAAGTAAGGGTTAGAAGCAAAATTATAAGGTAAGCACATAACAGTAACCATTTTTGCTAATTCTTCCATATCTTTTCTTGGGTCATAATACAAAATACTACCGATAACAGTATTAATTCCNCATAGTTAAAAGCTAACTCTTTGCCACAAGTTTTACACTTAGCTTTATTTTTTTCTCTTAGTTGAATAAAAAATGACCAAACAAGAGATGTTTCGGCCCGTTTAGAAGGTTGTCTAGAAAAAGTAGGGGTAGTAACAGAGGGGTCAACCGGGGCATCATTTGGATTAGTTGGGTTAACTTGAGCAATAGGACAAGTGGGTGTATCATCATCCGATTGCGTTTCATCTAAATCTATTTCTTGCTCATCTTCTTCATCAATAGTTGGATTACCATAAAGAGAATTCATATATTCATGATCTAAGTTTTCACCACCTCTAACAGTATGCACATATTGACTCTCCGTAAATTGTAATAAAGTATTATCACTATCAAGAATAGGAGCAGGTGGAGGGCGGGTATGGGGTTTGGGTAGGGGAGGCCGGGGAATTAGAGGAGGAATAGATTGGCCACTAGATTCACCACTCTTGGATTTTCCCTTATTTTTACTAAATGTTTTTTTAAGAAATATGTCATCTTAATTATAGTTATACAAAGTAATTAAATAAAACAAACAAAACTATAATATTAAAACTAAAGAGTTGGAACGAGTTTACCGAATTGACGAACAACTTGTTGAAATTAATTATCGTTGAAAACTTGAATACTTCAATTCACAATTTTTCACACAAGTTGCAACAACAAACTAACCAATATTAGAAGAAAATTAGAGAGAGATTGAGAGAGATTGATGATTTGGTGAAGAAAAATGAAAGAATGAGGGGGTATTTATAGTAGAAAATAGGGAAAAGTGTAATTATAAAAACGTTGGGTTAAAACAAAGTTGGGGGAGGTGAAATGGCTATTTTATAAATAGCCAACGACTATTTTATAAATAGCCAACGACTATTTTGGCAGCAATAACGGTTACATTTTAAAGGTGCGATGGTCAGAAATTGAATTGAGAAAAAAAATTAAAATTAGTCGTTGGGCCCGTTTAGGACCGTTTGGGACCAGTTGAACCGGCCCACTTAGGAGCCGGTCAAGGGCCCAAACGGTCCAGGTCCTAACGGGGCCCTACTGTAAACCGGCCCACATGGGCCTGTATGTCTCCTTTGTGTCGTGCTTAAACGGGTAGGACCGTTTAGGCCCACTACCCATATGGGCTCGCGGGCTGGTCTCGGGCCTAACCGACCCACTTTCCACCCTTAATCCTAGCTAAGGCCTTCTCTCGTTGTGGGTTGCTCGTTTTGGACTCAAATCTTCAATTCTTCTACTTCTCAAAAAACATAAATCTAGATATTCCGATTTAGTTTTTGTCGAAATGGTATAAATATTGCATATTAGTTGTTTTACATGTGTTCTATGTTGTTTTGTGTATTTTTTGCGATTAAACTGGTATGTTATTTATATCCGGA